TCAGCGAAATCGATACGCATTTGTTGCTCAGCGAAATCGATACGCATTTGTGGCTTTTCACCCAACCGCCGAACCGCGGCGGTTTGGCGAAACTAGCGATTGGCGATTCTCCGATCGATGACTATTTTTGCTTTTCTCCCAACCGCCGTTTCGTCAAGGTCCAGGCTGTGAACACAGCCCTGACAGTACTTGACGCACATAAGAAGGGAAAAACCAACGTTGGCAGGAACTCCTTTTGAAGCCAAAGGCGACACCCTCCCTCCTCTCCTCCCCTCTCCCTGGGATCGCATGATGTACGCGATCAGAAAACACCGTGATTATAAGCCAGTGCTCTAGCACCAGAATTACTGGCTAATAAAGGCTGCTCTGACCCATTCTATTTTCTCCAACTGTCAGATAACCAGAAGATCTATTGTTTTTTCAGGTATACTGGAACGATATCAGAAGTGATCAACATGGGTTCTTACAACTATCTAGGATTTTCTCACAATGATGGCCCTTGCGCTGAAGAAGCCGCTCGATATATTGACAAATATGGCCTTCATATTGGTAGCACGAGGCATGAACGAGGCATTTTTTACGAACTACTTATGTTTACTTCCGCGGACTACACCTATACCATGGTAATTTTTTGGGAATCAGTTTCTTCAGGAAACCACGTGGTTCAAGCCGAGATCGAGAAGTGCGTCGCTCATTATCTTGGAGGTTGAGGCAGCGATATGTTTTCCGATGGGCTTTAGTACGAATTCAATGAATATTCCTTCACTTGTGGACAAGGTAAAACAGATTCTTCAGCTGTTCGAGAAAACAACTTCCAACTTGCTCTTTTCAGGGATCACTGATCCTTAAGTGACGAACTGAATCACGCCTCTCTTGTTCTCGGATGTCGAGTCTCTGGCGCGACTGTGAAAGTTTTCAAGCATAACGGTAAGAAAGCCGAGCCAGTTCAAAGTACTCAGCAAGGATACGAGTAAAGTCCACATTCCGAATCGGAGGGTGTGCCCACGGACTTTGTTGGAAGTACAGCAGCAGCAAATAGTTTCCTGTTCAGGGAGAGTAAGAGAGCAGAAACGGCACAGGGAAATGTCGGTGCACGTCTTATCTAGCGACTGTCTAGCACCGTACCGGGCACGACTAAGTTCGTGGATACTTCCCATCAACGCAGAGATATGGGCTGTGCAATTTGCCGCGTAGCTAGAGGTTTCACCTGACGCATGCGGCAGCTGGATATTTCGAGGCCACATATACGATGTCCCAGTGCCAACGCTTTTTCGTTAGTAGAGTACTTGAGCAGCATCCTAAGCTAGAGAGATGTCAGCCTTCTCGTTTTCGGTACAGCCTATCTTACTCTCAACTCACCCATATGCCGCGCCTGCGTGGCCGCGCGGAACGACGCGGGCAAGTTATGATTTTGTTTTCACCTTGGTCTCCTGAACAAACCATGTTGCACTCAGTAAGTCACTGCGATTACGAGTAAGTGTGGAATACATGTCGCAGCTCAAGACGGATTGCCTAGGAAGCTTTTTAAGCTCACACGAAAGAACCAAAAACGCCGGGACTGAACGACTACTGGCCGAGTTCTAGCTTATGAAAGAGATGCTGCAGAGTGGAGTTTCATGGCTTCATTGTTAAAATGTTGTCCTAATTTTGCAACCCAGGAACGGGCTACCAGCACCACTGCTCCAGTCTTTAGAAATAAAAGGAACTCCCCGAATGCTCTAATTACCTCAACAGACAATTACCTGACAGACACCAGATCGAGTTAGATGTGCAGCGCCCATCCAAAAGCTTTTCAATAAAAAGCTGGCGTTCATCAGGATTCGGCGCTCTCGCCATTGTTATGTATCCTTGTTGTGAGCAGGCTGACAAGATGTACAAAGCGGCGCTTGAAGGGGCTTTGAACTCTCAGCGGTCCGACCGGACAGAGTTAAGAAGAAGAAGAAGAACAAGAAGAACAAAAAGAAGAAGAACTAAAAGGAGAGTGAGAAGAAGAGTATTGAAGCGAACTGAGGAAACGTCAAAAACCGTTATATTAAGCCTAAAACAAAAGATATACGAGAACGATGCGTATGAACTTCTTGCGTGACTTCTTCGATGGTGCTACGTCAAACTCCGCCATATCACGTATTCGTCTTGTTGGTATCACTTCCGCTATTGGAATTCCTGTCACCTTATCGCGGGCAACCGCTTCCTTATTTTTCATGTAGCGAATGTCAGTTGTCATGTAGGTTCATTGAGCGATCATATGGTAGCGAAATAAACCCTCAGCACTCTTATCTTTCCCTTTTGAGCAGTGAAGTTAGCACAATGTTTGCGATTACAGAGCGGAAATGTGCCTTTGAAAAAAAAGTCCGTTCCAATTATCCAATAAGATTTTCTTCTGTTTCAGATGCCAAAGATTGCGAGAAACACCTACGGAATGCTTTATGTCATCCTAGTCCGAAAACTGGGAAGCCGTTCAATAAAGTTCTTATTGTGATAGAAGGAATATACAGGTGAACAACGGAAGTTCTTCGAACTTGCACAAGTAGTTGGCCTTTGAAATCTGCTCAATCCCCAAAGATAAACGGCGGGAGTAGCCAGTTTTCCTATAAGGTGTCAAACTGTAACGATTTATAAGTTGTGAACAAAGAGAGAAGCAAGTGCCACTCCATATCTCAGATGGGATGGGTGTCCACGCTTTTAGGCTGCGTTCATACTTTGCGGCTACGACCAGCAGCGTTTCGAGCGACCGTCAGCGTCAGCGAATAGGGGAGTATAGGCATGTATCTAGCGGCCAGCAGCGTCTCGAGGGTTAAAGAAGTATAGGTATCGATCTAGCGACCAGCAGCGTTCACCAGCGTCCTGCACGTCCATGGATGGAGAGTATGGGGAGGAAGGAGATCAGCAGACAGCTAGTAGAGTGTGGGCAGACAGGAGGGGA